TCGTAAATGGTCCTTGCAGGTCTAAAATAATTGGTATAATCAACAGTTAAATGTTGTGAAACTAAAGACTGTTATATTAAACTAAAAAACTTTCATGCAGCATATGAGAAGAATATATAAAAATTTTGTAGCTAGAATAGGTGAAGTGACTGATACATACAAGAATTTCAAGCTATGAAGGATGTTCTTAAGAAAAAGACATATTCATAGTTTGTGAGTGAGGTAGTCTTTCCAATTGCTTTGTGTACTCAACACAGGGTTCACATAATGGCACACAGTACTGAAATGCCTTGAAAGATGATTGTAGATAATAATATTTTTAGAGGAGGTTATTTTTTAAAAAAATCTAGAAGCCATTAGAATTCATAAAAAATACTTTATTTTTTTCCTTATGAAATATAGTTTAAGTTACTATAACATCTTGGAAAATGAAAGAATTCAACAACCAAGGCAATAGAAATCCTTTATTGAAATAAACCAGGTCAGTGATGAGGGAAGGAGAAAATGAGTAGGAGCTTCACAGTCCTCTCAACTCGTTTAGTTGTCATTACTGAGAAGAGCCAATACAGAGAGGAAGGTCCTTCACTCATAAGAGGAACTCAGCAGATGGGTGGAGAGGGATGTCGATGCCCGAGCTGGAAACCACGGCTCTGCTCCAGGCAGGAAGGAGGTTGGCTGCCTCAGCCCAGCTCCTTGCAGCGGTGTAGTGCTGCTCTGCCACAGGTCCTCTGCTGCCAAGAGACGTGCCATGTGTCTACACGCTGTGTTTCCAGGACGCATCAGCAGACCGCTCCAGTTGTGCTGGCTCTCATGTTTCTATGCTGGTCACCACTGACAGCTTATATGTCCCCTAAACAGTCACGGTGGGGAAAAACTGAGGATGGGTGGGAAGGCAGTTGTTATATAGGTATAAAAGGTGTCTGACTTGAGGTGTATATCTGAGCTTGTTCATTTACACTCCTATTATAGCCAGTTAAGGTCTTCTTGATACTAGACCACAGACAATTTGTCCCTTCCTAACACAGGCACTTTTCTAGTGTAATCTGACAGCTGAGCTCAAAATGTCTTCCAGGGGGGAAAAAGGTTTTGTAAGGATTGGCCAGATTTTGAGTCTGGTGTTGATTTGTGCCTTTAAAATTTTATTTTATTCAGCCATCCTTCATATAAATCTAAATATCAGTCTAATACTGTATCCAAGTGATGCTTTGGTAGATTCAAACTGATGAAACTCAAAGCTCATGAAAAGCAAACCCAGCAAACAAATCTGAGATGCACGTCAGGTCACAAATCAGTTATGCAGATACCAGAGAGGTCTCCTCACAGCCTGAAGATAGCCATACCTTGTGGAAATGCAAGGACTAGGAAGAGATTGTGAGGAGGTCTCTAAAATGTGATTGTGCTTCCGCTGAAGTCACGTCCAAGGTTCTCCAACACTTCCACAGGTACAAGGTGGGGACCTCTTGCTGGAGGAGCTACTGCATGGCATTGCTGCGATGCCTTTACGTAGATATTGATTTAGCTCTGATGATGCAGTGACAGGCATCATATAAAGTTGCAAGGAGAGAAAATAAAGATGACCAATAAGGACAGTTTTCCTTTGCAAGTAACCTAGTCATTCTGTCATTAATCAGCATTGCATTGAAATTTTTTGTCTGTTGTTTTCAAGCATTCTTGAAAATTTTGGAGGACCTAAGAAGGAACTGTAGGTACTTTTACTTTTAACATTTTATGGAAAGTCTCACTTAAAAATAAAATTCAAAGGACTTATGAATACTGACCAATTAAATTGACAAGATTTTTTTGCATCTCATTGGAGAGTGGTAAAAAAGAAACAAGAATAAAAATATATTTTCAAAAAGTATGCTCAAACAGCTCTGGAAATTTAAAAGACTGTTAAATTGCTAAGAGAATTAAGAGGTACCAACCACAGAACAAGAGAGAGATATATTTTAAGATCCTATTAAATACATTTAGTTACCTATCATACAGATAATGCATTAGTATTTCCTCACTGTAATTTATATTGCCGTAAACACCAAACAGTTCTACCTTTTTAAAGAGGGACAAAGTATTCCCCAATGCAAAGAGAGCTGGTCCCAATATCACATTTTTAAGTAACACAGAAATTGCTCAGCAGTCCCCTTGGTCCAGTTATTGCTTTCTGGCCTCTGTGCTGCAACTTCTTGATGTACCCACTTCCCACAGTTAGGCAAGGTCTTAAGTGCTTTAGAAAGAGTTTATACCAGAAAAGAGAAAACATGACGTAATGCTACTTTTGTGTTTTTCTTTTATTAAACAGGTGAAAAATGCAGCGGCCAATGTACTCAGGGAAACATGGTTAATTTATAAAAACACAAAGCTGGTTAAAAAGATAGACCATGCAAAAGTAAGGAAACATCAACGCAAATTCTTGCAAGCTATTCATCAGTAAGTACTATTTTGTTTTGGTTTTCCTCTCCAGGTGTTTTCTTTCTTAGTTTCCCTCTCCCTCACAGTCACTCTTAGTCTGTGTCCCGTCCTGCTCACTCCCTTCTGTGCACCCGCACTCTGTCTCTCCCCCTTCATAGAACATTGCTTTTGAAGTTGATTTTTCTCTAAGACTAAGACAAAGATAAAGTTTTACTGTATTACCTGTTTACAAAAAAATCAAAAAATATGCTGGCTGTGTATGTCCAATATGGGGTAACTCAAACTTGTTTCTTTTTTTCAGAAGTTCCCATGGTTCTTGAATTATCTAAGACTTTTTTTTGTCTTTTGCCACTGAGACTATCCTTTGTTATTATATATTTGCTTACAGGTAGTAAGATACAAGCTACAACAGACAGAAGAAAATGAAAAACTTTTCATTTGTAGTAGATGTTTTAATAATTTAATATCAGAATGATATGATGGAAGAGACCCTATGAGTATGTATGTAGTGTTCAATGAAAAGAGTACACATCAAGCGTCATTGTACAGCCCAACAGCAATTATTTGCCTCTCTTCACCACATGTTCTCAGTGCATAAAATCAAGTGTTAGTATGTCAGCTATGACCCCTGACGTCCGTTCTAGAAAATGGGAGTATATGCCAGCAGTCTTTGTGTAACCTTTGAGCACCTCTGGTGTGATTCAGATGAGTTCTTTGGTTCTACTGAAATCTTAAGAGGTTGAAAACAAGCCTGAGAACTGTAACCAGTAGTAGGATTAAGCTGAATTGTGGTATTGCCAGACTGTGAGTATTTATCTAAAATTCATAATACATATTTGTCATATAGCACATCAAAACCAGCAGAATTGCACAATGATTCAGTTAGTCTTCCTTGGACTACATGGGAGAAAAAAAGAGACTTTTGCCCCCAAGAACCACAGATTCTTCTTGAGGAATGGTCAGGACCCATGTCACTATTTGTCTGCTCTATTCAATGTAGGCAGCCATTTGTACAGCCTATGAAATTTGTTCCCATGAGGCAGATGTAAATAAATTAAGTAAGTTTAATTTTGAACTGATGTTTTGATAACTTTTGAGTGTGGGTCTGTGTCTGAGCCAATCTGTGAGGAGATGTGAGGGAAGCATCCATCATGGAAGGAACACCTATGTGTCATCTTGCAGGAAAGACAGGAAGGAAAGGCCACGTTATCATATTTCCTATTAGTAAATTTAGGCTAACAGTCTTTGTTTCTCTGTTTCAAAGCAATGTTTTAAAGCAATGGATAGCTAAGCTTAAGGTATGAAGTATTCTATAAACCTTGACTACTATATTATATTCAGCAAACTTGCAGGATTAACTGTTACTGTGCTATTGCAGAAATACTTGAAGGAATAAAAAGACAACAAAAGTCAAGGCATTTTTATATGGATATAAAAAGTTTATTTTCCCAGTTTGGTCATCCTGCTTAGCTTAAAGGATTGGGAGGCGGAAAGCAGTGGTAGAGGTTCTGGGATAGAGGATGGCATGTCCTGTGCATCCCTTGATGGACTTGAATCCTTGATTGCAAAGGTTATTCCTTAACATTTTAACTTTTCTATTCATTTTGTGTGTGTGTGTGTGTGTGTGCGTGCACATGTTCAGAGAAGAAGCTAAAAAGCACAGCAGGCTCGATCTGCAGCTTCATATATCATTCAAGCCCAGAAGAGCTTCATAGGGTGTAAAATGTTGTACACATGCCTTAAAAATTCATTAATCAGGTGGGGTGAAGAAGGTGGCAGCAGTAATATTTTCCTAGCTGTGCTAGCAAAACTTTGAACAGCTATGTTAATAATGCATTTTCCTCTGTCCTTTAGCGCTCTGCATCCCATTCCCAAAACTTTTCTATTTAAGAAAAAAAAAAGATAATTTTCTCAACATGCTGAAGAATGTGCCATGGATGAAAACATTGCTCCAGCAGTTTGCTTTCTTCCACCTGTAGCAGAGTAGATGGGTACAAATTCTTTTTTATCACTTCGCATCTTTGAACTTTTCTCAAGTGAGTCCTGGTAGTACACATCTCTTTTCCATCTTTCTGGATTCTTAGGTTTTTATTGGCCCCCCTCCACCTTTCCAACCGTTTCACTGGAGAGAGAAATAAAAGGAGTGAAATTTCAGGGCCTGTTTTATACAAGAAACCAGGGCAGATCATGATAAGAGTCTCTAAAACTGTCTTCAGCTGGTCTGGGTCTTTTTTACTTCTCATGCACACTAAATAAGATGAACGCGAAATCATCACTGTACATGATACTATTAAAAGGCATTTTATGTATTGTATGAATAAGAAAATATACAGATGATAGTTAAAAGGGAAGGCTTGAAGCTCTTGCGGGTTCCTTCATCATGAATGCAAGTGTTAGACTCCACCTCAGGCAGTTACTGATTGAAAGAAGTAGCAACTTCCTAGGACTTCCCACCTGCTGAATCGAGCCCACTGTGCTCATTTGGTTGTTTTAGTATATTTTACAGTTTGTTTCTTTTGTTTTGTCTTTTTATTTCAACAAAATGAAAATAGAGCTCGGAAGTAAGTTGTATAAGCTGTTCCTTTCTAAATTTGCAGAATTTACCACTGTCTGCATGCAAAAAATAGAGTCTTTATTTGTGAACTTCAGTGGTCTGATTGCTGCCATGGAAACGCGATCCAGAATCATGATCTTTTGCTGTGATAAGTGAAGTTCATAAAATCAAGATGTTTCATATTTTCCCTTAATGAATTTAGGAATGAAAGTCTGACAGTTTTCTTTAAATCCGGCTGCTGCAGCTAAAGACTTGCCATTACCTAGAGATACGTTTTTACAATCTGTGATAGGTATTGGGTTTGTTACTGTGAGGAATTATCCTTTTGGTGTCAGCTGGTACTTGTATTGCTACAGTAACAATGGATTTCTTGGAATTTTAAGATTAAAATACTAACTGGCAAACAGATGACTCAATGAATCTTAAGAAAAGCAGAAAACACATAGTCTGCAAATTATTTGAGAGATGCTTACGAAAAGACCAGGGTTATCATTCTCCAGTTAAATCATTACATGCTTACCTTAGAGTAATTATTCTGTTTTGAGACTGTAACGATATAACTCCATACCTTGGAGACTCCTCCATATTTTTTTGCTTTAGAATAGCTCCGGCTTATAGCCTCTGAAAGCACCATTCCAACAGTCTGCTTTTACGTTGTGCTGTGAAGGAAGCCTGCAGGGGAAGAAGAGTGTATGGCATTCCAGTAACAAACCTCTGGAATGTCAATTTTATGTGAACAATTGATTTCTACCTTAATAGAGTTATTTCCGTGTGTTTTAAAAGATATTTCACTCTTCATAACTTACTTTCTTGTGCCAGTTAGCCTAGATATGAAGGGAAATGCTCAGTAACTAATGATATAACAGAAACTTCCTGATTGTGGAATATCTGCAAGAAGACTTTCTTTAAGCTAGCTTTCTAAGTAATACCATCACTGAGAAATAGGCAGAATATGCATTAGCAAACCACCTGCCACGAAATGCTGCCTTTATTTTCATTTGACAGCTAACCAAATGGTTAGTTTGGTTGGCCCTTGACATACTAGTAGACTGCATGGTATCTTATCACACATTGTTTATAATTTGATATGTTGTTTTTGAAAATTGCTATTTGCTGCTTAGAACAGCCACCAGAAAAGTCTTTGAAAGTCCAAGTATTTCTCTGCTGGGAAATGTTGAACAAATGACTCATACTTCAGGGACCAATGGCTTATTTGTGAAAATCACATCTACAAACCACTCCTCTAGTAGTTAATCTGAAAGACATGGACTTGGTTTCAGCAAGCACATAAGAAAGGTCATGTACATATCTCTCAAAGAATGTGGATAACTAATACTAATGCAGATAGGTAGGCATCAAAGAGAAAAAGATATCTTCCTGCTTCTTTCATAGTTTTTCAATGCTATAGTTTAAATAGCGCATTGAAAAGGAATGTCTAATGTAAGTTTAAAATGTAATCATATTTAGATTCACAAATTATGTAAGAAAATCAAATGTATTGGCAAGTATGTTTGTTATTTAGCTGCTGTTCAGATGGAAGTTGTCTTTAAAGTAATGAGAAACTCACTTATCACTGTATTTCCATCAGGTTCAAACACCTGCTAACCCAATCCATTTCCGACAGAACAGGGCTAATACCTGTATCTAGTCATGTAGGCATGGGAAGATTCTTGATTGCTACAACATCAATGTCAAAAACCAGTTGTTCTGTTTCTTCCTATATCTACTTGTCACGATACTGAGGCTTTGAGGAATGTTTTGGCTTTCTTTCATACAGTCTGGATAAATTGTTATCTCCCTTTTTGAATTCAAGTTTGACCATGGCAAATGGTATTCTCAAGGACATCACATTTCCTTGCTCTTTCCTTTTTTGCGGTGTTGAAGAAGCATGCTTCTCATTGTAGCAGGCACATGACCAATTCTGACTGTACACAAAGTACTCAAGGCATTGTCCATGCAGTTACTTGCTCTTGTAAGTTTTGTGCATGCTTTTTAGAAATCCTAATATGACCACATACACAAAAAATCTGACTTAAAATTCCACTTTTTAGATTAAGAAGTGTAAAAATGGAACAAAGGAAACTGAATGATCAAGCCAACACTTTGGTGGACCTGGCAAAGGTTAGTAGGCAATTACTGTTGTTTTAACATTCATCCTTCATCAAAATGAAGAGTTTATAAGTGAAAATGTTATGTATTATACATGCAAATATTGCTAACAAGTTTATTATTTGTAGAAAATGAAAATATGTGTGTGTTTTGTGGTAACACCTACTGAATGAAATGTCTTGTTTATGGCTCTGACCAAAGTTTGAATGCACTGTATTTATTTATTTATTTTTGTACGTTTGAAGAAAGATTTCACAATTGAGAGGCTGATCCTGAGAGCTCCTGAAGTGACTGCAGTGGTCATGGTAAATGCTGAGCTGTGAGTCAGTCATAGTAGTTTAGCGCTACGTAGTAAAGAGATTTCCCATCCAGTGATAGTGACTGTGCCACGAGGGATGGTAGTACACAGGCTCACACACAGACTGAAATTAGAGGTTCTGGGTTTCTATTCCTGTTGTCTTATGCAGCAGTGACTTTGGACAAGTAAATGTAGGTTTGCATTTGTTTAAGTTTTGATAATGAATAATAGCTGCCTGATTTGATGATATTATTAATCTTTTTTAATCCCTTTGAGATGAGGTAAAAGATGCTATTCAGTTGCAAACTGCTTGTCTAGTGTTGCTAGATTTTTCATTAATATAAAATAAAACCTAGAGGGAGGGCTGAGCTGATAGCATTCCAGGTTTCACATTAGACCTCAGTATGTAACAGTTACTTTAATCTTAATTTGAGGCCACATTAGAGGCATTAATGGGCTTTTTCTAAGGGTTTCTTGTGCACCTCGTCATGTACCTTGGAACCCTCCTCAATTTGAAGTACATCAAAGCAAAGATTAAACTCTTTAGTGTTCATTCCCCTTTTGCTTTAGAGAACCACCTGACAACTTCAGTTGCTGAAAATACATTTCAATCTAACACTTCTGGCAACTGATAAGAACTTTTCAGATACTGTTTAATGTAGACTACTTTGCTTTCAAGGGTTATGCTAACATCTTAAAACAGGGGGTAGAGAAATGGGTTATCGACATTCATCTGATACTAAAGTGCTTTACACTTCAGGTAGGAAGTCATTCAATTAACTTTCATTCCCTTTGGATGGTTTATGAACTTCAACCAGTTTATCTACTGCATTACATCCAGTTTTGGCTCTAGTTTAAGTCTAAGCTGAAGTCTCAGTCTATCAGAGGGAGAAATTATTTTTAACCAGTTCCAAGTCTGTGAAATAACACATTTCAGATTACATTTTTACTGACCACTACAGCATTTTAAAGTACACCCTATATACTTGCTGTAACCAAACACTGTTTTGCAGAGGGCAGATAGATTGGAGAACGCAGAAGTAGAGAAACTCACAATTGAATTTTAACTCCTTGCACTGCATATCAAAAACAATCCACCCTACTACTCTTAAGTTGGAGGAAGTACAGAAGAGTCAAGGATGGATCACAGCTTTGGAGCCTTTGGTTTCTTGGTGGCTTATACAACTGACTATTCACAGAGCTTAGCACAGTGCATTTCTAAGCAACTGAACTTCCAAAAAAGCTCTGGCCTTTTGTCTAATTCATTTAGACATTGACATGTAAAGTGCTACTCAAAATATATTACACTTCTGCTCAAGAAATTTAGTAGAAAGTTTATTCTGAATCTACAAGGAAAATAATTTCACAAGACTAGATATTGTTATAATATTCATATCCTTTTTTTTGGTCAAGTGCAAAAGCTTTTACAAACCTGTGTAGAGTTGCGCTGCTTGTTATAATGTAAGTAAGGTCTCTCTAAACCTTTGTTTACATCCTTCTACTTTCAGACTCAAAACATCATGTATGACATGATTTCTGACTTAAATGAGAGAAGCGAAGATTTTGAGAAGAGAATTGTTACTCTGGAAACTAAACTGGAAACTTTAATTGGTAGCATTCAAGCTCTCCCCGGACTGATTAGCCAGACAATCAGCCAGCAACAGAGGGATTTCCTCGAGTCTCAGATACAAAATTTTGATAAGCATGTTGCCTACAGTGCTGAACGATCACGATCTTTGTCAAGAAGAAGGAGATCATCTTCCACAGCACCACCAACTTCATCAGAGAGTAGCTAGAAGAGAATAAGTTAACCACAAAATAAAGACTTTTTGCCATCATATGGTCAATATTTTAGCTTTTATTGTAAAGCCCTATGGTTCTAACCAGAGTTATCTGGGTTCTGATGTCAGAATCCTGGAAACCTGAACATGTTTTAGGCCAAAATGAGTGAAAACTCTTTTTTCCCCCCTCCTCCTCTCAGATGCACAGTGAATGCACCTATTATTGCTATATTAGATTGTTCCTCCTGTAATTTCACTAACTTTTTATTCATGCACTTCAAACAAACTTTACTACTACATTATATAACATAATAAAAAGGTTAATTTCTGCACATAGTTGCTTGGTTACTTGGACTTAACAACTGAAAAAAAGCTCACAATCAAAAGGCCTAATTAAACTTTTAAGAAACAAAATTGAAGCTTAATAATCATCTCTCAGTATGAAAACTAATGCTCTAAACTTTGCTTGCAGTGGAGGGGGAAAAAAATCAATAGTCATCTAACAGTGTGCTGTATATGTGTAGTCATTTTAAAAGGTCACTGACAGCTTCGATTTCTGAAGTGATTAATTAAAAATATAGTTTATCCTAGAAAATAAGTTATGAAGTACACTATGGGTTTTTGAAATCTCTTAGGGCTTTTGTTTAACATGCATTGGTACACACACACATAGATAATATATATACATATATACTTATGTATATAAAATTATTTATGCAATGCCCATGGCAAAAATCTTTTAAACTGACTATTTTTAACGCTACTGGCATGCAAAAAGCACAGGTAGAGTCCTGTTCATTTATTCACAGTCTCATAATTATGCCAGGTAAGTATGCCCAGACAGAAGCATGACTTTCAAGCAGGAAATGTCCCATTAATGCTCTTTGGGTTTTGAAAGTGTTAGGTTGCTACTTTCTCCACTCCCTTTTTTGTGTTTAATGTTTCTGGAGTGAATGACTGACACATAGAGTTATAGTATACACAATTGCATTGTGGCAGCACAGTGTTCTGTATATATTATGTTTGGGTAATCCCCATGGTTTCTGCTATGCAGTGAAGTTTAGCAAGACACTTTTAGCACTATTTCCAAAAACTGTTGTAAAAAAAACTTGCTGTAGACTGGAGTTATGGCAGTAGTGTATCAGTGGTACTTTACTTTCATGCAGAAATAGTAAGGTCTCCTGCTTTCTTTAAAAAAAAAAAAAACACCCAAAACCCAAACCAAAAAACAAAACCAACAACAACAAAAAAACCCCCAACAAAAAGCCAACCACAAAGCATAGTGTACATGGTTGTGAAAAAATTCTGCCTGACTTTCCTCCCGGTTTATATTCCAGAGTAGCAAAACTAGGTAAGCTTAAATGCTCAGCACATGCAACATGCATTCACAATTCCTAATTATAAACAGGAACCTATCTGACTTTATGAAATATTTTATAGTACTTGGTATTTATGAAGTATACTAGTCCCACCACCCTCACCCTGAATTTACAGACCAGCATGTCACTATAGTTAAGTATAGTAAGTAGGCATGGCTGACTGTTTCTGAGGAATACTATATCTACCTAGAAGTAACACACATGTTGGAGGAAATGCCCATTGCTCCATGAGACATTGTGAGTCCTGGTCAGTAGCCACAGTCAGGGAAGACAGTAATGCCGAAAGCCAGAGCAGAGTTGTGCTGGGCAAGGCAGAAAAGCTGTTCTCCCCAGCACTCAAAATTCCCCAAACCAAATACATAATCTGAAAAACAGCAAACACTTCACGCTTATTTAAAATAAAGGGTCTGCCTCTGTCTAACTGATGAATATAAGTTACATCCAGAGGCATTGCTTGCTTATGAAAAGGTCAAGAGTTTCTCCAACACTTTTTATGTCCTTGAGAAAAATGATGACTTTGCAGTATTTTCCCCCTAGATGAGCAGGACAATTGCATGCCTTTGGAGTGCCTTGTTTACAGACTGGTATTTTGTGACTGGAAATAATAAGCAGTTTTTGCAGTTCTGCTTTTGTGGTTATGAAGTTCATTTCTAAAGGAAAAGATGGATATTATGTAGTGCTAATGCTGTGCTAGCCCAGTCTTAAACTAGATGAGATTTTGAGTGGTCATGAGGCCACCCACTTTACTCTGTTGACAGGATTAGAAGTAGTGATTAATAATATTGGAATGTAATAGTCAAGTTTCAGAATTCTTTTTTCTTTAAGATTTTTGTTTGTCCATTCTCCCATTTTTTGTGTTTAATTTAGAATATTTTTCCTGTTACTGAATGTGAAATGCACTTGCTGTAGCTTGGATACATTCCTTCTTGTTCTGTCAGCTTGAACTAGCTCTTTTGTTGTTTACAATATATTTTTTATATTTATAAGACCTGTTTTTTTTCTCCTCTGGATTGTAGAACTGGGTTTTTAAAGAACTGTAGCTCCACATTGAAAATTCTTGCTAATCTGTCAGAGTTAAGTTTGAATTAAGATCTAGCTATAAGTATTGAGCTGGTTTATTCTGATGTGAAAGAGCAACTGTCATCTTTGACCTCTCAATTTCTTTTACACAGTAGGACTTAGGAGTCTGAACCTACCAAATTCTTGCAGCAGCTTTATGCAAGCAGGGCTGTGAGATGTACCAGGACTATCCCCATCAGTAGGGTTCTGTAACAATCTGCCAGTGTTTTTTGATTCCTTTGGTTTTAAAGCAAACAATAAATGATGACACCATAGAATACTCCAGTTCAATTTCTTAATTTAGAATTATAGAATAATAGAATGCTTTGGGTTGGAAGGGACCTCAAAGACCATCTAGTTCCAGCCCCCCTGCCATGGGCAGGGACACCCTCCACTAGACCACATTGCCCAAAGCCTCATCCAAACTGGTCTTAAACACTTCGAGGGAGGGGGCATCCACAACCTCTCTGGGCAACCTGTTCCAGTGCCTCACCACCCTCACAGGAAAGAATTTCTTTCTAACACCTAATCTAAACTGACCCTCCTTCAGCTTAAACCCATTAACCCTTGTCCTGTCACTACACTCCCTGATAAACAGTCCCTCTCCACCTTTCCTGTAGGTCCCTTGAGGTACTGGAAGGCCGCAATTAGATCTCCCTGGAGCCTTCTCTTCTTCAGGCTGAACAACCCCAACTCTCTCAGCCTGTCCTCATAGGAGAGGTGCTCCAGCCTGCTTTACTCTAAAGCTCACTAGAAATATTTTATTTGCATTTTTGGTGCTGACGCTTCTTTTCTTCTAAATACCTAGTTATGAAAAGCACTTAAGCACTATCTGTGAATCCAGTCCAAGAAAAGACAGATATAAACTTACATTCAAGAGAGCACAAAGCAATATGGGTTTGATCTTCTTACTCCTGATACAAAAATTCTTTTAATCTTTCCTTGTTTGAGTTTTGTAGTACCACAAATTCAATTACTGATATTTTATTTGTGAAACTTAAGCTCCCACACTTTGTTCAGTGTATGAGCTCACCAAAAAAGAAAATGTAGCGTGATGACAGATCTCTGGAACTGCTTGTGCAGTTGAATATAGATTTTTCCTTGAAAGATTGTTTACAAACAACACGGAATCTTTCTCAAAGCATATGGTATATTTACCGTGTTACAGCTGAAAAGCTTCATGCACCTTTTGGTTTAGCCTCACCAATAGGAAAATTCAGCTTTGAGTTGCTATTGAACTTCACTGCATTCCAGACACCGATTCCATTTATCTGTTACTTTGGAGTCTTGTTGCTAATCCCTACATTTTTAATGACACTTAGGAAAGATATCTTGCCTGTAAGGAGTCTATTTACCATGCTTAAAACTAAGTACATTGATTTAAGTAGTATTTTTTAGTTACATTTAAGTTTTTGTACGATCAGAATAATACATTTACAGATACTATACTTGCAAATGCTCTGCAGTTCTGAATCATAGAATCATGGAATCGCTGTCATTGGAAAAGACCTTTAAGATCATCGAGTCCGACCTTTAACATAGCACTGCCAAGTCCAACCACTAACCCACGTCCCTAAGCACCACATCTACCTGTGTTTTAAATACCTCCAGGGATGGTGACTCAACCACTTCTCTGGGCAGCCTGTTCCAGTGATTGACAACCCTTTCCATGAAGAAATTTTTCCTAATATCCAATCTAAACCTCCCCTGGTGCAACTTGAGGCCATTTCCTCTTGTCCTATTACTTGTTACTTGGGAGAAGAGACAGGCACCCACCTGGCTACAGCCTCCTGTCAGGTAGTTGTAGAGAGTGATCAGGTCTCCCCTCAGCCTCCTTTTCTCCAGGCTAAACAACCCCAGTTCCCTCAGCCGCTCCTCACAGGGCTTGTGCTTTAGACCCTTCACCAGCTTCATTGCCCTTCTCTGGACATGCTCCAGCACCTCAATGTCTTTTTTGTAGTGGGGCGCCCAAAACTGAACACAGGAGTCGAGGTGCAGCATCACCAGTGGCAGGGGGTCCCAGGGGGACGATCACTTCCCTGCTCCTGCTGGCCATATCATTTCTGATACAAGCCAGGATGCTGTTGGCCTTCTTGGCCACCTGGGCACACTGCTGGCTCATATTCACCTGGCTGTCGACCAACACCCCCAGGTCCT